TAGCCTGCAAGGGAGGCTGCAGTTTTTTGAGGTTGATTTAATTGATCAGAAGGTGCTTCAAAGCACCTGCTGACAGTTTTAGATGGTGTGTTGATATAATTCAAGCAGGAAGTTTTTGTTTATAGCAGTTTCAAAATAAAAATAAATTTATAGTGGAAGACCGTTTTTAGCCTACATAGTTCAAACAACACAATCTCTCACTAGTAAGAAAGCATCTCCAAAAAATGTAACTCATGTTGTTGTTTTGACAAATATTTCTAGTGGTTTAACTAGAAATGCTAGCACAAATATTGCCCTAATGTTTATTCCACAGCCTATAGTTCACATCAGTATGTTTCTCAAAACATAAACATTGAGTTTTTAGTTAACTTCATGTAAGTAACTGCAGCTGCATTGCAAATTAGTTGTCAAATCTAAAAGGTATAACTATGAGGGTTAAATATTTTAGCTTCTAGTACAGTTATAAACTACACCATTTTTGTTGTGATCACCAGCAGATACATTCACTTAAATCAATCGGTTTACATGTACTCCCCTATTGCAACAATCACACAGTGGATTTATTTATCTACAAATTGAAGTTCAACCCCTGTAACTGTAAATGAGGAACATTGGCTTTTTCTGCTTTACTAGTTTTATCTTTAATCACACTTGCAGAGAGTCCTTAATGGGTTGTGAGATCCAGTAACTGAGGTGGGAAGGTTAATGGGCCATTCTGTTATGCTGCAGTTTTTTGTTGCAAATAATTTGAGATATTAAATGCCTGAAACCTTTGCCATAAAAAAGTAAGACAAGAGTTTGAGTCGTTAGAGAAGGTGGGTTCACCTCATGGCTATTTGCGAAATTAAATAAAGTCTGAGATTATTGTATAGCAGCTGACTTTAGAGAATGACACAATATTTAAGATAAAGTTCAGAATCTTTTTCTCTAATGATGGAAGATGTGAGATAAATCAGGGGTAATCACGGGGTTTGAAAACCGCATTCATGATGATGTTATTTCACCCTGTAAAAAAAAGGATGCAATGCCCAGATCTGGTCACTTCTCCAGCCAAGGAGCTACAGGTTATCACTCCTGTTTGAGTGAAAAAATATTATATAGATAAATCTTTTATACAGCAGCTACAGTATCGTGGACAATAACTCTTCTCTAAACTATTCCCTGTTATGACAACTTTTGGAGAAGCTTTTGCTAGTGGCCTGTTTAGTTTATAGAATGAGGTTATTTCTAATCTTTGTTTGTCCTTTTCTTGCATCTACGCTACAGGAATCACTTGCAGACCTGATTGCTTGCTATGACCCTGGCCGTGTCCTTTTGTGGTCATTTGACATTCTCCTGAGAAACCTCCAGTGGCAGGATAGCATAGAGGATTTCCCTTATCCGTGACTGTTCTTAGAGTACATCAAATGGGGCATTGCAAGAATGATACGTGCAATCCTGGGATGCACAGCATCCCACGCTGTCTCTGCTAGGAACATTGTGCAACCTAAAATGCAGACAAAGTGTGAAACTATCTTGAATTAAACTATTGGAGTTTGTAAGTGGAAAATGGAAAAAAGGAGAGTTGTTTTTGCCCATGTAAAAGTGGTAACAGAAATTGGAGAAAAGATTGATTTGCAAGTAGAAGTATAGAAAGACTTTCTCTGATTTCCTTTGGCATCGCATCTTAACTCATTTTTTTAACAGTGAGCCCTATCATTTTTTGAGTTTTAGACAAATATCATGGGTTTACCTTTGAATTCAGCTGAGAATTACCTTTTGATACTAGCACTCTAGAGAGTTAGGAGGTTTTGGGGGAGACTTTTTGACAGCTTTGGCCAAATTTTATTTATCTGTAATATGGAGGATTGTCAATATAATCTCCTATAATCTCAAGGTAAGTATGATTTACATTTAATGACTCTGTTTTAGAGCGACATTCAGCTCCTATGTAAAGACCAGACTAATACCTATACAGACTGTAGTATTGGTCTTTTTGAAGGAAAACAATACCTAAGCAGTTCTATGCCAAGCAAAAGTGGTGACAGTGTTGGGGGATAACATTAGGGAGAGCTCAGGCATCTCCAGAACATGATTAAGAGGTAAGAAGGAGAGTGAATTTGTCTTCAAACTCCAGTTTCACGCCTGAATAGCGTAGTTCATATTCTACTTTGTCTGGTATTTAGAAAAAAAGATGCTGCTGTTTTTATTGGAAAAAGCAAGAGCATTGCCAAGGATGATAGTTAGCTTGTTCGTACCACCTAGGCAAAGACTGTGCTTAAATATTAGAAGGAATTCCTCACTGCCACCAGTACTGATTATTCATTCAAGCTGTGGGCCAACAATGTGCTTCATTTAAGCCCAGAGTTTGATCACTGTGCACTGAAATGTTGAGAGCACTGAAAAGCATGTGCTTTCCAAAATCTAAGCTGTACTGTGCTTTTGTAGACTACTGGTTGTTGATAAAATATAATTTAGCTAAATAAAAAATATTGCTTCTCAATAAAATATAATTTAGCTAAAACAAAATACTTATTGCTGGCAAAAAAGCACCAGATTTTAAGATCCTTCTGCAGTCATAGAGCCAGTAAAAGTGATCCAGAAAATAGCAACATTATTAAAAAAAAAAGGTTTTTATTTCTTTTAGTGTCTGAACTCTCACTCTCAACTTTTCAAGCAGACCTAATGTCTTTATGAACTGTAGACGTGTGTAAAATTATAATCAGCTCCACATGGTGCTTCAGAGCATTAGCTAAACATGTTTCGCTTGGAATGCCTCTAGTGTATGTGCACTCATATAGGCACTGAAATCACTCCACCTAACTTTGTGTGACAGGGTTGCTACAGAAATCCACTGTGCAAATTGAGGGGTCTTTTTAGATGTTTGTACATATAACTGAAAAAAATGTCTGTTGAAAGTCAGATCACCCATCCCGAGAATGTAACCAATTTCATGTGATATGATAAGAAGCTTTTTGTGTATGTTTAAGGAACTGATTGTGGTATGTAAACTTTTAGGTTGAATTTGAAGGAAAATGGCCTAGTACAATGTAATGTGTAGGAAACATTTAGGAGAACAAAATGAAACTTTCAGAGTATTTAAACAAAAAAGAGAGAAAAGAAGAAAATTCTCTTTATTTTTCATGAGGGTGTTTTTTATGTTTAGCAACCTCCAGGGTTCTCATTGTGTGTTTTACCAAAGTAGCATGTGCAGAGCCCCATAAATAAGAGGCGATTCAGGTTTTGATGCAGCTCCCAGAGTTAGCCCAAGTCCACGTGTGCAATGAATATAGAAGCAAACTGTTCATACAGTCTTACTTAAAGCTACTTAACAGCTTAAAGTGATAAAAAATTCTTAACACAGTTTAAGAAATTAAACCACTTAAAATGTTAGAAGCAGCCTTAGAGCATGAGGACTTTTAGTGTAATAAAAGGGGGCTCCCTGTTGAGCTGCAGCTTCGGTGGCAGAGCTGGTAGATTCACATGGTGCATCCAGGTAAAAGAGGGTGTTAGGAGGTGACTCAAAGGCCTGGAGGTGACATGATGGAGGAAATGCAAGACTTGTAAAAATGTGTTATGTAGCCTTGTGTGTGTGTGTTCATAATTGCATTGCTACAAGTGGTGATGTATGGGACCTTGTAGTGAAGTATGTACAGTACAGCCGTGGGAGGGACACAAGAAAATGTTTCCTAATATAAATCTTGGGCTGTGGAAGACAGCTTCAGGTCATGGGCCAAAGGAAGGCTTCATAGGAGGATTTTGAGGAAATGGTTCGTCAATTCTGAGAGAGCTGAAAGATGAAATGTTCTGCTTATGTGGCTTGAAGGAGTTGGAGGCTGTTGGGAGGTGGCATGAGCAGGGCAATTCTGCTTTTCAAATGTTTTGAGGAGGCTGCTTTTTCTGAAAGGTTGTTTTGGGAAAAATAAGTCTTTCATGAAGAGGAAAGAATTGCTTTAGTCTGACTGGTCTCGACCAGCCGTAGTTGGTTGATGAGGAGCATCTGTAGAGGACATTGTTACTATGTGATGTTACACATTTTCAAAGCCTGAAGTAACTTGTTTTTACTTATGAGGTAAAACTAGTTCCCACTGTAGTTCCCACTGTAGCACCTACCGGTAATAACTGTATGTGTATTTGTGTGCATATATACATAGATAAAAAATGCAGCTACACAAAATTAATTCTGCAGACCAAACGAAAGGGACTCAGTAATGGAAATGAATGACTGAAGGTAGAAAATACATAGGATGCTTCTTTTGATGGCACTGATACCACCTTAAATGTTTTGAAACTTGGCCTAGTTTTCAGTGACACAAGCAGTGATTTACACCTTTTTGTGCAGAAAAGGCTGTAAAACAGGAGTGAATTACATTCTGTACAATTCAAAAATAAAAGGCGCATTCACAGGCACTCATGTTGAGGCCCATTTACACTTCTAGAGTGGTATGATGAGTAAATGAAAGTTATGTCTCTGTGTGAATGAAAAATGTCTGATTTACCAGAGGCTGTGAAAAGAGAGAGAAGCAGAAGGGAACGTAGTGGAAATTGGAAGTACAGCATTTATTTATTTAAAACATTCATATTGATTTGGAGTCAAATTGCTGTATTGCTGTAACTGCAAACTAGTTCCACTGATTTCTGCAAGGTATTTTTGGTGATTCTGATATGACTAGGAGTTTACGCTTGTAATCTTAGTTTTCTGCATGCTTCAGTAAGTCTTTATCGTGCTAAGTTCCTGTGCAAATCTGGCATTGTGCTGTTCAGGATGAACGTTATCTATTCAAAAAAATCTTCACTGAGGAAAAAAATCTCAGGTATAATTAAATTCATATGATTTCAATACAATTATAATATTCTCTGGGTTTCTTTTATGGTAAACAAAAGAGGTATGTAAATATGACTTGGTGAGGGTAAGTGCTTTCTTTCTGCCTGAAGACAGATGCAGAAAGAAGTTCTTTAATGAATTGAATCTCAGTACTGTATCATGTAAGACTAACATCTCGGTATTGCTTGCATTTCAGAACATTTCAGGATCTGTCCAAACAAATGGATATATCTTATGGTACAGTCAGGGATTCAGCAGTGTATGAATACTTTAAAGCAAAAGGGACAAACCCCTTGGAGCAGGATAACACATTTGCTGAACTGTGGAGGACAATCAGTAAGAATAATGGAGCAGATAATTGTGTATCGAATCCTTCTGAAGGCATCAGGAAGGTAAGACTGGATTACAGGATTTTTCATTTAATGTTTGTGCTATATCAATGTTGTTTGCCTGAAGTTAATGAATGATGAGATACATAAAAGCAATTACACAGTAATTTTAAACAAGAATGTACCTTTCTAAAATTCCTTTTAGTAAATAGAGAGCAGCCTGAGCAGCATATTCTGCAATCCTGATTTGAAATGAGCTTAGCTCTGCCTAAATCTTCAGTATATCCTTTTTGGATCTGGTCATTAGGTTGCTGGGTTTCTTGGGAGCTCAAGTTATAACATCTTGAATATTATTCTTTATATTATCTGGATACTAAATCTTATTCTTTGCTCATTCCTGTGTATTAGTGCATTAAACAGGACTGGAAAGATGGGTAGGAATCCGGGGATCCATTGAAAGTATACTCTTTGCTCTTAGAAAAGGAATTTCTTGCAAGATTTTCTTTGTTTATTCTAGTCTTAAAACATGCACATACTCTTCCATGTGTCAGCATGTTTTCCCTTAGTTTTTCTTTTGGTTATGGCCACGCATTTTTTTCTTACGAAACAGAGTGCTAATATGGAATTCAGGGCATGATATAACATGATATAACATGACTTGGAATTGTGCATCGTTATGGTGAGATCAGAGATAAAGAGCCCTGATTCAGCATACACAAATAGAAACATCCCCAATTTCACACTCTTAGTCTGCTGCTCTTCTCTCCTTTCCGTATTGTAGCTCAGTAAATGCTATCAGAGCACACGTATGCAAGAGTACGTTATGTCATAATGATGCAGAAATAGTTGGTGGAAGTTTAATGTGTGGCTCCTTTAGAGAAAAAATATTCTGTTTATTTGTCTTTTTTTTTTTCCAAAACAAGAAAGAATACATTAATACATTACAGGTTCATTACAAAGCCACTTTTGCCTTTTTTTCTTTTCTTTGAGTCCTTGAAACCTTTCCCAATGATCAGAAGGAAAGTGTGCAAAATGCAAAATTTACTTTGTTCGTTTTCCTTTCTCAATTCCCAAATCAAAATCTTAACATTACTTAACATAAAATTCCAAATTGTGTGTGTGGCTCTTAGATAAAAAGTCCTGATACAACCCTTTTTCTTCATATATCTCTCATGTCATTGGGCTGTTGAGTCCATTTTTCTGTTTCGTCCTTTGTTTTCTCACATCTTCTCCAGAATTCGTCTGTGCTGTGAAAACAGCTGAACTTCTCTAAAACTCTCTCACTTGGCTCAGATACCCTTTCTTCCTCTGCATAGGTAGAGCCCTGGCTCTAGCAAGTTCTGCAGTGTTTTGATTTCATTTCTGCCCAGCACTTCGTGAAAATGAGGCCTCTATTTCAAGAGGCATTCTTAGCATTTAGAAAACATTGAGATAGAGCGATTAAATAAATACTTTCTATGCACTCTGACATGAAAAACAATAATAAAAAACATTTACCTTAGGAAAATGCACGACTTTTTTTAATGCACAGTTTTGATGCTGGCACGTTATAAATACTCCTATTCTCTAAGTCGGTTGCGTACTGCCATTTATTGTGGTTAGATTCGCCTAAGCCTAAAGTGTAGCTGTAGATTGGCAGGCTGTTTAGAATACCAATTACATTGTCTGGAGCTGGCGGCTCCATCCTCTGTGTGCGATAATAACTTTTTCATATTAAGTTTGATTTCAATATTCTAAGGTGATTTTTCTATTTAACTTGATCAACCCATTCAATTAACATCAACAATAACTAGATCTACTTCAATCCCCAAAGCTGACCAAGGCTGCTATTTGGTTAGACACTTACATAAATTGAGCTTAATACTTATTAATACTTAATAACATTTTCAAGTAAACTGTTGTGTTTATAGTTTAAATGTTGCTCTTCCTAGCTCTTTGAGTTCTTGGAATAAACAGACAAGTTCTCCTTGTCAGGCATCATGGCTAGTCATTCTGATGTTCTCAGGGAGAGCTGATGTCAGTCAAGGAAATGGAACTTTATGTCTGCAAATACATATCGCTGTATGAAAGAGATGTAAATGAGGCCTTTAAGAGGTTGGGGTTTTTGTCTTTTTTCTTTTTTTAAAGACAAATTTAAATCTTTGTAGCGTAAACCAACTGCTAGGCTATTTTTCTGTTTAAGGACTTGCCTGACAGAATGGAAAACATCACTACTAGCCTTTTCCCCTTTCTTTCCCTTCCCATTTACTTCAAACAACATCGTAGTTCCCTTGCAATAAGAAGAGCAGAGCCACTTCAATGCAAAGCAGGAGCACACTGCTTATTAATGTTATTGGCAGGTATTTCAGATTATTGTCTCTAGTTCAATTATCTCTCTTCGTTTCTTTGAGATTTCCCTACTTCTTTGGCTTAGCTAAAACAAAAAGATAACAGTGGAAGAAAATCCTGAAAGCTTTTGTGATGCTCATTGCCAGGGAAGGGGCATCTTTACCCACACAGCAAATCTCTCTAGCCCACTTGTTGATATTTCTGTAGGACCAGTCATACGATGGGAGCAGCAATGGTGACATTCAGTTCTGGTAGAAAATTCATGACAAATGTTGTATTTTTCTTGCACTATTTCTTAGTGTAGTAGCTGCTTCATATATTTCAGCTGAATCCAAGACATTAATCTGAAATTCAGCTTTTTTTTCAAGTTGTTTCATTAATTCTCACCATGTCATCTTTAGGGGAAAAAAAAATACTTTGCCATCATTTGAAAAATGCTCTTCTGTCTCCCCCTGTACTGACTAGTGACATTAAGAGATTGCTTACTGCTTTTGTAAAACTTTATTATTCTCTTTGGTGGTCCTCCTCATATCCAGGAGGGACTGATGGTTGTTAAGAAATATGTCTTAATGTAGCTTTTGTCTTTCTTTTTCCCTCTTCCCCCTTAAATCTATTTTCTTAACTCTCTTCAAGCAAAGACAAATCCCGTGTCTTTGCTGTTGGCCAGGACATTAGTTCCACCTGGATGGAATAAAGAAGTGCTGCTTTGGCTGGATTTTATCGAAGGGGACTTTCAGAAGTTTAACTGAAGTGTTTTTGTTTTGTTCTGCCAGTGTACCTGCATGCTGAGAGCTGAAACAAAGCCACAGTAAAGGAGCATAAAATGAAAGCCAATTAAAAGCCTAAAGCATAAATCTTAGGCTATTATTCTGTGTTGTGTTTCAAGTATCGTTCCTCATTGCAGCAGTCCTACCTGTTTTCAGCTGATACTTGCCACACTCCCTTTCGCCATCTCTCTTTGCAGTATTTTTGTAATGATACCTGACCACTTGAAAATTTTCATTCTGTTTTGGGCCCTAGGCTTTTGCTAACTGAGTTGTGAGTGCAAGAGCCTGAGGACATGAATCCTTGCAGTGTTGTGGTCAGGATTGCTGTATGAGTTATCATATAGGACTAGAGAGCCTTCACGTGATTCCTGTTAATATATCTCATTATGACCTATGGGTCAGTGCCAGGCCTTTCTGCTTCCTCTATCCTTCTGGCTTGGGAGCTAGGGGATATACACATGTGCACACATACACTCTTTCACATGAAAAAAGCAAATATTTAAAAGAAAAAAGAAAAGCAATATTTAAATCCTATAAAAGATTTTACCTTGAATTTTGGTTAAAGATTAGTGTCAATATGATTTCATTTGACTCTTAATCCTTGCCTAGTGAAAATGTATAAAAAGTAAACATATCTCAGGCATGTGTATGTTATGTATGTTTATGTTTTATACATAAGTTTTTCCATTTGTCACTTTTTCTTTATATTGAACAAATGGTACTGCCTAACTGTTACAATGGATATTAAAAGGGTTGTGAAGCATGCTGAATTTAGACAGCAACCAAACATGTGGTCATATGGAAGCTTTCCAAGTGGTGAACACACTAATAGTAGGGAGTCTCTACTTTTAGAGAAGAAAACTATGCAAGTGGAAGAACCTTTGAAGAGAAAAATCTTCCCTGAGGACAAGGGGATCTTTGGAGATTCTGTCTTTGGCAATTAGAGAGGGAGAACAGTCTTAACCTCCAGGATTTCTGAAAGATGAGAAGCACACATAGTTAAGACTTGAAAGCTCAGATTCCCATTAATGCTAAAAGGATCAGGCTATCAGAAAAAATGATACTCCATAGATGCGATGGTACAGGGTAGAATGATTCATGTCGTAAAAAGGTAAATTGATACATAGAGACTGAGTAGAGTATTTATTGACTGCTAACAGCCCCAGGACATAACATGGGATAGCAACATGCGAGAGAAGCTTGCATGCTTGTCAGAAGGCCTGTTGTCTAACCTTGGAAGTCAGCGGAGGAAGGTCTGCTATGTAAAATAAAAGACAGAAAACTAAGGCTTGAATGGTAGAAATCAATAATGTGATTTTTCTCTAGATATTGCAAGTTAGTTGGAATTGAATATTTAAGGAAAGTTGTGTTTCTCAAGTACTATTAGAAGCAAGTGAAGGAGGGCAGACTGTGTTGCCAGTATTCCTCCTTTGTAAAATGTAAATTTGAGAGAATGCTTTACTGTACAATTTTGAAACAGCTAAAAAATACAACTATAGAAACTAGAAAAATGCAAGACATTTTAGTACTGTGGATTTAAGCCAAATGTCTTCCAGGACTGCTCTTTCTGTACGTACATCAGGCATGTTTTTACTTTATAATAACACATTCTGGAAAATTCTGTATAGAGTAACAAATGATATTATATAATTTGTCTTTAGTCCCATAAGTACATGTTTTTTAATGCAGCAGAATTTGCACGCTATTTTTTATCATAGGTAGCAAAATCCTGTGTACTATTTACCATAGAACACAATCCGAGATGTGCACAAATAGGGCTTTTGATGGTCCTTCCCTGCCATGATCACCAGTGGGACTGATGCCCATTGCCTGTTGTCCCTAACCAGGTAGGAGGCCTAACAGCATTATCACAGATGTGAAAGCATAAAATCAGGATCATTAAAGCCCATCACAGGCAGAAGAGAAAGCAAGATGCAGAGGTTTGCTGCTAGCAACTCAGTTGTGGGTACATGATCATTCAGAAAATACCTTTGAAAAACATGTTTGAGGCTTCCAAGAATGTCGGCTGCCAGTTGAATATAGGCCTAGATGCCTTAAGGAATTATTCCCTTGCCATATTTTTGTGTATATGTGTGTTTATCCTTATGTTACTAAGTTTTGAAGCCTTTTCTGGCTGTCGTGTCTAGTAAACAGTGATTTGTTCATTCTTTGCACTGATATTACCAGTTCAGGTAGACAGGCAGGGACAGGGTATTACAATATGGATTTAGGAGTTTAATTCTGGTATGTTTTCATACCATGGCATTTTGATAAAAGATATTTTTATGAACACAACTGTTTAATAATTTGTATCAATTAAATCCCTGTATGATAATACTATGGTCCTGTGGCTAGTATCCAAATAACTTCTGGAAAGCTTATGCTGTGCTTGAGATTTTAATACTATTTTGTACTAGTGTAGCAACAGAACAGATGTCTGATTACTCTCATCCCAAACCAAACATAATGATAAGAAAGGAGAAAGAGGCTGGTGGTGAACAAACCCAAACTGGATGGATATCTTCAATAACAGCAGCAGCAACAATTATTTTCAGGGTGGTTGGAGCAGGACAACTTAGGCCTTAACAAAAATGAGGGCTCTCACTGGTTTTAGTTGGTATAAATCAGAAGGAAAACAACTTGGGGATCTTTGCTTGCCTTCAAGAGGGTAGAAAGAAAGGGTGAAAGGGGAGACAGACAAGCAGCAGAAAATCCAAACAAGAACATGCTTTTATTGCCTTTACTCCCTCTCTCCTTTCCCCCACCTTTTTTGTTTGTTTGTTTGTTTCCTGGATTCTGTCCTTCAGAGGATAACTCACATTTGATTTATTGTCATGTTTAAACAACTGTCAAAGACTTCAGAGAGTTATGGTTGTTTATATCAAAACATGTTGAAGTGAAATTAGTTTAATTGCTCAGCTGAATCTGTGGCAAGAAGAACTTCATATACTGAAATAAAAGAAGGAGTTTTGTAACTTAGAGGTCAGTTAAAAATTGAGCTTACCCAAAATACCTGAAAGAGAAAAATAACAGTGCATCAGAACTGTTTCTTAAGAGAGCTTGGTGATTCGGTTTCCGTAAATAAATCCTGCTTTGCTAAGTTCACCTAAAGAAAGATCAAAAATAAAAAAAAAAAGCTTTTTTTTTTTAAAGAAAAGAAAAGAAAAACAGGGCTAAAGTTAGAATTAACAGAGTAAGAAATCCTAGAGCACCGTGAGGAGTGGGGATAGAAAGGGCCTGCCAAATGAAATGGAGCACTGTATGGAGATTGCTGCTAGGAGCATGATTAGGGCTAGGGTTAGGGTTAAGATGGCAAGAAATCGAAATTGTAGAGTGCTCTGGGGAGTGGGGCTGGAAAGGGCCTGCCAAAGGAAATGTAGCGCTGTATGGAGACTTGCTAGGAGCATCTCTTCTGTTTCAGGCAGACCTAGGCTTAGTTCCTGAAGGTTTAGGGGTAGGGTTAGGGTTGAGAGAGCAAGAAATCGTAGAGTGCCTTGGGGATTGGAGCTTGAAAGGGCCTGCCAAAAGGAAATGTAGCACTGTGTCAGAAATGGTGCTAGGACCATCTCTTCCATTTCAGGCAGGCCTAGATCTAGTTCCCTGAGGCTTAGGGGTAGGGTTAGGGCTAGGGCTAGGGTTAAGATAGCAAGAAATTGTAGAGCGCGCTGGGGAGTATGGCTCAAAAGGGCCTGCCAAACAAAAGGTAGTGCTATATCAAGAATGATTCTAGGACTATCTCTTCCATTTCAGGAAGACCTAGGCCTAATTCCTTGAGGCTTAGGGATAGGGTTAGAGTTAGGGTTGAGAGAGTGAGAAATCGTAGAGTGCCCTGGGGAGTGGGGCTCGAAAGGCCCTGCCGAAGAAAAGGTAGTGCTGTATCCAGAATGTTGCTAGGACCCTCCCTTCTGTTTCAGGCAGGCCTAGGCCTAGTTCTTTGAGTTAGGAGTAGCGTTAGAGTTGAGAGAGCGAGAAATCCTTGAGCGCACTGGGGAGTGGGGCTCAAAAGGGCCTATCACAGGAAATTTAGCAGTGTATCAGGAGTGGTGCTAGGACCATCTATTGCTTTGTAGGCAGACTGAGACCTGGTTACCTGACGGATTAGGGTTAGAGCTAGGGTTAGAGTTAAGCGTGCGAGAAATCGTAGAGCACCAAGGGTAGTGGGGCTTGAAAGGGCCTGCCAAAGAAGTCTAGCACTGCATGAAGAGGGGTGCTAGGACCATTTCTTCCGTTTAAGGCTAGCCTTAGTTTCCTGAGGCTCAGGGTTAGGATTAAGAGAGCAGGAAAATGTGGAGCGCTAATGGGCGTGGCGCTAGAAATGGCCTGCCATAACAAATGTAACGCTCTATTAAGAGTTGTGCTCGGGCCATCCATTGCTGTGTAGGCAGGCTTAGACCTGGTTACCTGAAGGGTTAGGGGTAGGGTAAGGGATAGGGTGAAGAGAGGGAAAGCATGGAGTGCTCTGGGGAGTGGGGCTAGAAAGGGCCTGCATAGGAAACGTGGCACTGTATGGAGAGTGGTGCTAGGACCACCATCTTTTCCATTTAAGCCAGACCTAGGCCTGGTTCTCAGAGGCTTATGGGTAGGGTTGCGACTAAGGTTGAGAGATCAAGAAAGCGTCGATCACTATGAGGTGTGAGTCTAGAAAGGACCTTCCAAAAGAAATGTAGCAATGTATCAAAACTGGTGCTGGGACCATTTATTGCATTTAAAGCAGGCCTATGCCTGGTTTAACTGAATGTTAGGTTTAGGATTAAGGCTAGGATTAAGGTCAAGAGAGTGAGAAATCCTTGAGTTCCATGGGGAATTGGGTTAGAAAAGGTATGACAATTGAAATGTAATGTTGTATTGGGGTAATGCTAGAAGCATATTTGTCATTTACACAGCTCTAGGCCTGGTGATGTGAGAGCTAGGTTTAGGGCTAGAGTTAATTAAGAATTAAGAGGGAGAGAAATCCTAGAGGACCATCATGAGTAGCTCTAGAACAGCCACAGGGATGAGTATTCAGTTTATATTGAAACAAATTATATATCTTGTCCACACGGGGAAGAGCTCCTTTTAGATTTACAAGTCACTGAAACAGACTTCTGATGTACTCAGAACCTTCCTGCATGCGACCCTGTGCATCGTGCTCTAGGTGTCCCTCCTTTCGCAGGCCCTTGGACTGTATGATCTCTAGAGGTCACTTAAAAACTCAGCCTTTCTGTCATTCTGTGAATTTCTAGAGACTTAAAGATATACTGCTTAAATAAATTAGGAAAACAATGATTACTTTAACCAAATAAAATGATCACTCTTTTCTTACTGAATCCCTCTCCAGAGATATTTTTACATCTCATGTTAACTAAGGTGATTTACATTCTTTATGTGCACTGCATGCAAACATTAGTATTAATCCTAATTAAGGCTGACATTGAATTACATTTTTGTGAATGTATGCTAAAATAAAACAGTATTTTTTTCCCAAAATTGAGCTAACAGGGTATCCTGGTGACTTTTCTTACCTGTGAAAGGGAGAATTTTTCATCCAAGCTAGAACATTCCTTTTATTTTAGCACTGTCATGGCTTTTATTTACACATTTATTTGAGGGAAGCTGCAATGTTTCCATTTTGTAACTGCGATGATTGAAAATCATGTTTTTGCACTCACACTGTACCTGTATTCCTTACATGAATGTATGGAACTAGTAATCCACGTCTCCTACAAAATGCACGTCAAATTTCATCAGTTAAGGTATTGGCTTTGATTTATAATTAATCACCTGTTGTGTACACCTTGCCTAAACTTGTGATTTACTTTGGCATCCTCTGCTATCTCCCTGTTAAAAGTGGAAGTCATGCTAGAGGAGTTTGAAGTCAATGAAGTAATGCTGGGAAAGGAGTGAAGAGCATTTAAAATATGTTAAAATACTGTAGCTTTCCAGATAACTCTGACCCAATGAAGTATCTGCAGGGTGATGGCAAGCTCAGGGCTTATTTGTTTCTTTATTTTTTGGACCTACCTCAAGAATTAGTATAGTTTAGTTTTTGTTATGTTCGTGATACATTTGCAGGCAAAGAAAGGAAACTATGCTTTCCTGTGGGATGTGACAGTGGTGGAATATGCCGCACTGACCGATGATGAGTGCTCCGTGACAGTCATTGGAAACAGCATCAGCAGCAAAGGATATGGGATAGCCCTCCAGCATGGAAGCCCGTACAGAGATCTTTTCTCCCAGAGGTAAATCAAAAAAAGTTCTTTTTTTCTGTAGGATTCTCTGCAGCCAACAAGAATCTTACTTGTAGCTCATACTAACTTTGGTAGTGATTGTTTATTGAATGAACTTAGTCCTCTTCTTTCTGTGACAGCAGAGAGGTTATAAATTCAGCCTTCCAAAAAACTGCTCCATCTGTTCTGTGTACATTTGCTTAGAGAGGAGAAAGGAAGGGGTTGGAATTGATGGCTGATCTTGCACCTCTAGGCAGCACTGCCCTGTCAGGAAAAGGGTTGGTACCCCCAGAGCACTGTATGGGCAAGGGTCAGACCAGGCCTTCTTGGCTCATACTGTGCTTTGCATGCTGTGAAACAGTGTGTTCTTCCATGCAGCATGGAGAGACGGATCCAAGTCTTACATGCAGTGCTTTCTCACAACATGAAAGGCAAAAAAATGTTGAGTATTGCATAGCATTTTAGTGGCTCTGAGCCACCAAGCCCTCTGAGCTGTCCGAATGCCTTTTATGCCAACATGTAAGTGAGACGATGGCATGCGGTTGTACAGACCTTTGTGGCCTTCACAGGCAGTGGCCAGCACCTGGGCAGAGCTGAAGCCACTTACTCCTTTGTCTGGCTTCTGGATAAGAAGTGGTAGAACATCAACTGCAGCTAGTCTGGATCTTCCTGAAAACCAGGGACAAAGCTGCCTCAAAAGAAAGGAATGTTAGTAAACAGCAAAAGCAGTTGTCAAGCCAAACACAAAATGAATCATTCATAGAAAGAAGGGACACTTCACAAGGGGCAAAACAATGATTAATTAGCAACTGTTAACAGAATATTTCAAGCGCGAAGTAACAGCATTAGAGTAAAATCCTTTGAATAAACTGCATTTGCTGTAGCTCAAAGCCGAAATAAATGAGTCCATTTCTACTTAAGTAGATTTGTATCCAGTAGGTTGAGTATTTTGTTAGAAGGACTGGCTGTTGCAACAGAGTGTAGCCAGACCAGCAGTAGCTAAGTGGAATGTGGTGGTTGGCCTCTCTAATGTTTTTTTGCTTTGTAATGGAAGATTTGACAATCATTCTTGTTTCTAAAGTTACCAAGTGACCTGCTGCTGAGAGCAGATTGTTTTCTGTACAATGAAAAACAGCAGAAGAGCTGTCTCTTTCCCACAAGATGCTTTTGATCTCAAACTACAGTTGAGTAGAAAATGTTATCCCATTCTTTAGTACCAAACAGTTATATTCAGAGAAAAGTCTGTTTTAGGATAAATGGGTAGAGGACATCAGCTATATGATATGCAGAAAAAGCTGATGAATGAAGTTACAAAATAGTGCCAGTTCCTTCATTTTTCTCACCCAAGGACAGAAAATTTTGAATGAGATAAGAAGATGGGGGGAGGGGAGGGAAGGAAGGTGGCTATGGGATGGAGTTTTGAATTCTGGGATAGATGATTTCAGAGGTATGCAATGTACAGAAAAACAATGCAAAAAGAGAAAGTACTGTTGAAGATAATACTTGTGTTTTAAAATTTCTGCAGGATCTTAGAATTGCAAGAAAGCGGAGATTTGGATGTTCTCAAACAGAAATGGTGGCCACGAATGGGACGTTGTGACCTGAATAGCCATGCCAATGCACAGACAGATGGGAAGGCACTCAAGCTTCACAGTTTTGCAGGCGTTTTCTGCATTTTAGCAATAGGCCTTCTTCTTGCATGCTTGGTGGCAGCATTGGAGTTGTGGTGGAACAGCAACCGTTGTCATCAAGAAACACCGAAAGAGGTCCATAACTTTTATTCTTATCACAACTAAAGTAGAAAACACAAAAAAAGGAGAGAGCAGATGGAAGTTGTGGGATTTAGATGCTCTCATACAGTAAATTTGGCTTATTTTGGTTTGCCATACTAAACTTTGCATATAATTTTTTGGGTGGTTGTTTCTAAAACAAAAAAATGGCAAAGCCTGTCTTTTGTGCACATGGAAGGTGCCAAACTGACAGCCTTGGAGACTAAAGTCCTCTATTTATTTATAGAGCAGATACAGCATGGGCAGCAGCAGTGCAAACTTCCCCACATTGCCCCACCAATGTGCCTCAACCCTGACCTGGAGAGACCACCTTTAGGGGTAAGAGAGTAGTTCAGAAACGTGCCCTCAGCCTCTCTGCTAAGAGTGACAGGGAGGCCAGGCATTAGTATCCTGTTGTGCCAGCTGTGGTTGATGGACTTTTTTTGTGTGTAATTTAAGACCCCCTGCATTGGCTGGGAGAACTGTGTCCGTACTGCGCAGCTGATGGAGCTGCCAGTGGCTGGGAGCAATTTTTCTTCATGGCTGACCTAGGCTAAGTTTGAAGAGTCGCATGAGCAATTAAAAATAAGCAACCTAGTTATTAATTGAATGAGCCACATTGTCAAGATGCTGTTAAATGCTTCCTTTCTTTCAAAGAAAGTTTTATTTTTATAACTAAGAGCCTCTGAGTAAACTGAGTTCCATACAAAATACTTAGCTAGGAAAACACATCTGAGAATGTCTTGTTTTTAAAGATTTCTTGCTGCAGTAGCAAGTATTAGTTAGTAATGCCACGACAAAATAACCAGTCCATACTCTGGTCTGTCTTGCATGAAGCTTCTATTTATTTACATAGATTAAATGTTTAACAAACTAACCTCTTGTAATTTTTGAAACACTAAGGCATTTGTAGATACTTTCATCTTGGAACAGCTGTTGGTTACAAGCAAATAATAGCAGCGAGCTGCTCTACAGCTGGAAAATAGTACATAGCTCATCAATTCCAATCTATGTTTCTCATGTTGCCAGGAGTATTACAATAATTGACGTACCTATCACCTGTAAGCAATGCTGGCAAGTGGGATCTGAAGAGACATGTTGCAGGCTGTGTTGTTGTGAAATATTTATCAGTGAGATTCCACTCTTCTGAGTTCCTGCTTCTCCCATTTGAAATCCTCCATGGAGGGTTCAGTGATAAACAGCTGTGTCGAGTTTGTGGGACAAAGCGGCCAAGTCTCTTGCCTGTGGCTCCACAGCATGTAATAGTGAGAGGGAATTGTTGCTACAAGGAAGCGTGTCTCTGCGGTGCATGGTGCAACGCTCCAAAAGCAGGCACAGGGAGAGCAGGAGTACCCAGTGTTGCTTGTAAGTTTGCTGATGAACAGAAATGCATATTGAGTTGTTTGTTATCTTTGGCTGAATGCTGTAGTATTTTGCCCTTGCAGGACTCACTCCTGCTGTAGCTCTGGAGGCCCCTCTCTATGAACATTGCTCAGGCCTAAACCTCAGTAGCAGGTAGCCCACTTTCTGCTGACGCCTGGTGGGGTACAGAGCAGGAATGCAGGCTGAAATATCCTAGCCCTGCATGTGCACTAGCATTTGTCTTGCCATATTTTGGAGTGGATTCTCCTCTCTTTGCTCAGGGCCTCACCCTTGTGCATCTTTGTAGAGTGAGATGAGAATCTACTCCAAAAGCGGAGTCACATATAGGTAACGTAAAATAATTCAATCACTCTTTTATTGCAAGTTATTTTAGATATTCCATTTTCATCTCTAAAGCAAGAATCTCTCTTCCTGTTCTTAACTATTTTTTTTCTTGTGCCTGTCCCTCTTGTATCTCGTTTTATATCTATAACATGAATTAGTGCAGATCTATGTTCTCCCCACCCCTCTTACAATCTAAAGCATTGGGTTTTTTTCCCCTTCCTATATACTCCTCCTCCTCTCTCTCCCCCTCCTCCGCAGTGTGTTCTAAATGAGGGCTACTCTTCACATCCTCTTTTGCAGCTTTCAAGACACTGTCAGTCCATATGATAGTGCTGTACTCCCGAAGCGGGAATGGGTCTGACCTTCGAGCACGCTCGGCGTAGCTTAAGCAAGATGAATTAACCCCAGGCAGAGCCCACGTGAGCAGGCTCAGGAAAGGTCAGCCTCGTGGGAGCTCCTGAGAGAGGGAACAAAGTCGGGGGGAGTCCTGGGATGAGCAAGTGTTAAAGTTGAAAGGGAAAGTAAGTATTCCCAATGAAGGGCAGATAATGAGGTTTGTCAGGGATTGCAAGCAGAGGAGGAAAGCACAGGGAGCAGGCAGGACCAAATGTAAAGTGAGATTTGCAGAGGGCCCCTTGGGGCAATGAAATGCAGAGATCTAAAAGCATTGCTGGAACAGGTCAAAGTAACTGGAGAAAAGGGTGAGCATAAAACATACTTAGATAAAGTAGTCAATGATTGTAGCAGATATGTTCTTGTAGATCAGGTCATTAGAGGTATTTTCTTTATATATTGATGAGGGGGGAATGAAGAGGGTTTGCTGAAGGCTACTGTAATGAAGACAAACGTCGTTTCCAAAGAGACATTGTTGTGTAGATTGGCTGATGATTTTCAAAACTTGTATGGGAACCAGAGTTCAGAAGTTGAAAAGCACAGAATCCAGGGATAAGGGGAACACTAAGTGCAGGAGGACCCTGCTGCCAGAGAAGCAGGAATTGGGAACAATGACTGATCTGTGAGGATCCAAAGTGAATTCAGGACTTGATTTTAAGAGGAGTGTATTTAGGGATAGCTCTTTTGTGCCACTATATATGCTCCAGCACTACTACAGCAAGAGTTACAAGAGAGCCACAGCATGTATGGCATATGTAAAACATGAAAATCTGCTTCTTGGCAGGATCTGATACTCCATCCAGGTCTTCAGTAACAGCTGCAGACTTAAGTCATGCTGCTGATTTGCTTTCCCTTCTGCTTTTGGGAAGTCTTTGAAAAAAAAGTAGGATTGCATGTACTTAAAAATTGTAGAAGTTGGATTTTTTCTTTTGACCATTACCTGCTTGAGAAAGGGGCTCATTCTGTGGCAGCCTCAGATGATACCTAGACTTTGGTAATCATCTCATGTGGAAAAATAACAGCATCCTTGTAAGAGGGCAAACATAGAGGCAGGACTTTGGCTACTGTGTGCCCAGTCAGGACAGGGTTGGGCAGCCCTGCAGAGAGAGAGCAAGAGCAATTTTCAGGGACTGTCATGTGGTGGGTGCAGGGTCAGTGTGAAATTTGTGACTTTAAGAATGGGCACAGCCTTCCTAAGCAGCAGAGAAGCGCATCCAGCTGTGATTAAGATGTCAATAATTGCCAGTTCTTTGTGCTTTCCTCTTCCACTTTTTGCCCCTTCAGTTTTCATGGAGGTCAGCCTGAGGTAATAATATATCAAGGTCTTGAAGGACTCAGATGTCTGGTATAAATTACAACTCTTAATTAGGATGAGTGAAAAAATGCAGTGATAATTATATAACTGGGGGGTTAGGAAATCTGTTTTTAAAATCCTGACAGCATAACTTGGACTTTGGCATTACTTTGATCTGAATTTGTAGAGTCTTTATAGGAAGAGTCAGACAGATTATTTCCAATTAGAAGAATATCAAAACTGTTTTTTACATTCTTTCCTTAAAGAATTCCCCTGGCCGCCTCCCCACAGTTGAAAAGTAGTATTGTTCGCACCCATTAAGTGAGTTCCTGAAGATAAACCTCCAGGAACCATGGGCTTGCTTTACATTCTCAAAGCATGCACTTGGTTGCCTTGATCTCACACAGTTGTTATGCAGGGAACCGTGAGGTTTCTTGCTGGGAGAGGGCTGCTTGCCCTTCCCCTCTGCCCACCTCTCCCCCTCTGCCCACCTCTCCCCCTCTCCCAAGATGCTAGTATAGGGTATTTTTATTCTAATGGAAGCAGATTTATAAAAATGATTCTAATGTTTTCTTCTCTACGAATCTTAATGTGATGCCTTCTAATGCCTCACTTCATCCTTACCAAATCAAATTAACAAAAGAAAGATTAGCTCCAGTGGCATTAGGAAAATTGTGTATTTGCAATACTATGTCAGAATCTCCTATTAGAGCTCATATTTATAATCTATTAAAGATGGAAGCATACTTGGTAATGTTTAAATACCCTTATTTATTCCCAATTATTTCAGAGAAACCTTTTTTTTTTTATTAGATTTTCTAGAATTTGTCATCATTTCCTTCTTATTTATGTTAAATCTAACTGCCCTATACCCACCATGAATTTTTGCCAGCTCATACTGGCATCGCTATATATTAAAATGTTGAATTACACAACTGCTATTCATTCTACAATACTAGATACCTTTTAACTTATATCAAAAATTTAGGGAGTTGTGAAAAATAATAATAATTTTGGACTCCCTATTTAGTCACGCTGTGTTTCTTTTGAATATCTGAGCATCAGGTAAAGATAGTTAACTTTGGTAGCCCAGAGCTGTGGAGTTTGGATGTATGTGGAGTCTCTGGTTGTATGTATCTTATTGCTGTGAGTCCTGTGCATTTATTTCATGATCTCAGTAAACTCAGATATGATTTGGGTCATTTAACTGCCAAGGGCTTTCCCACATCATCAGGTTGTTGCTATATTTTATTTCATTTGACACACTAAAAGACAGTTTTCAAATGTTCATTGTCATTATGATCCAGTATAGCTGCTTACTCTAATGGACTCAGCAGCGTCTTATGTGCTTTATCAGCTGTGTTTTACTGCACTTTACTGTTCCCCTTGAAGATTATTACTTCTGAGTCCTCTTCAAAGCTATTAAGAAATGATTCCTTGATCCTCCATATACTGTACTTCAAAACAATGAAAACTTAGAAGCAAAGACAAAATATCATATTACTTCTGGAGAAAAGCCTTGACTCTTTGTAATTTTCACTATGTCCAAACTATATTCACTTAAAACAAATGAACAGGAAGCTTCATGTGAAGAAAGATACATCACTTGAAGATGTATGGAATGATCTATTTGCTGGGAACTGATACTTCAGTAAAAGAGGAGATCGATCCATCTCCTGTTAATGCAGATCTTGAAAGACAGTGGTAAAATGATCTCCATAAATTCTTGCTTTGATTCTTTCTTAGCTTGAATAATTTCTATTATAAATCAGAAATAATTTTTCTGATTTAGACTATGCAACCCCTAGCAATGAGAGCTTTTCAGCAACTGTACCCAGGCTGTCTGTGATTGTGTATTGTGTGAAGATTTGGGTTTCTGTTAGGATAAGAAATAGCATCATTTTCCACCTGCTGAATTGCTACTAGTCGTTGCCTCATAACTTTT